ATCTGCAAGTTCCCTTATAAGTGATTCCATAGCAAATTAATTTAACGTCAACATTTCTCAGTGCCTCGCCGCCTCCTCATCACATCGAGCTCTCATTACCATAATTATTAGTTGGTGAGCCGAATAGATCAATTTCTCTAGGGACTCATCAGTCTAATAAACAATCCATCTCTCTACGAATACAAAGAAAAGTATAGGTTGATTTACGAACTTGTAGACGTGAATGACTTTTCTTTTTTGGTCGTACCAGAGTTCATGGATCTCTGCAAGCTTTATAGGGAAAAAGACTGACTTATGGACTAGACCTGAATGCTTACTAGTTTTTATCGTATGATGTATGGTGCCTCCATACGACGACTCTTTACGACTTGAATGATGTCAGCGAGCGTCTAACTGGGGAAATGAACGAAGCGGGAAAAACCGCAATTTTATCATAGTCCTCTCAGAAACAAGTTAACTCTTTCTCTCTCGACTCTTCCTCACCACACGACGTCCACAATGAGGGAACACTGAATTCGCTGCGTACATCGCCTTGTTCGGGTTCATCGTCGACATGACTGGACTGCGTATCAGATGTGGTTGTGTGGCTGTGAGTCTGTCTCTGTGGCATATACACACACAGACATACATCGATTTGCCGCAAAACCGCTGGCAGAGAGGGGGCGCTGCACTTATGGCCACATATATACTTACACACGTATATACATACATACACAAACGGGGGGGAGAGGACGAGCACGAGCTCATCATTATGCAACCACAGCAAGAGGAGGAGCGGCCAGCAGGTCCTGCGCTACTTCGCGGGCCTCGTCTCAAGCACTTACGTCGGGCTATTCTCCGCGACTGGAGGTGCGGAAGTGGTGCAGTGTTGTTTCGCAATTGGGCGAAGGATGCGCGTGAGGTCCGTACCGGCACGACGTAACCAGTTTTGCGAGAAACGTCCAACTACGACGAAGACACCCTCGCGACGCACTTGGCACCTCCGCAATGCCCAACGCTGACTCAGCCCCTCAACTCAGATGTTCGACATCTCTAAGCTGAACCCCCTCATATCCGGGTTGACCACTATACTTTTCCGGTTGTATCGATTTCACTCAACCAAACCGAACTCGGTCTCTGTCCGTATCCTAGCCGTGCTCAGGAATC